GCCGAGTCCTGAGGGGTGGCCTCACCGCCACGGAGGTCTCTGTAATCCGCTTACCAGTCCGGCACAGCCCCGCCTGGCAGGCCCCTGCCAGAGCCACGCCTGTTCGTCCCGCCGGCACCGGAGTCCATGCTGAGTGCACAGAGGGGAAAGCGTAGGGGTCTCGGACCCCGGCTGCCGTGTGCCCGTTTCCTGCTGCGGGATAGAATCTGTCCCCGGCTGGGGCGTTCTTTCATGGGTATCTGCCGGAAGTGCTGTGGGAGGGGGCTGGCGTGTCAGCGGGATGGGGGGCCCGGGGTGTTGCCAGCCGGCCTGGAATTTCGCACTCGGTTGCAGTTGGTTTGGGGTCCCTGTGTGTTCCTGATCACCGAGTTTGTGATGCCCCGGAAAAGAGCCCGAGAGGGCCTAGAGCACAGTGGGTAGGGCGTTTGCCTTGCACGCAGCTGACCAGGGTTCGATTTCCAGCATCCTATATGGTCCCCTGAGGACCGCCAGCAGTGATTCCTGAGTGCAGAGCCAGGAGGAACCCCTGTGCATTGCCGGGTGTGACCCAAAATGCAAAAAAAAAAAAGAAAGAAAGAAAGAAAGAAAAGCTCCCAAGAAAACTTGGCATTGCCTTCTGCTGGGTTATGGGACTGTGGAGGTGCCCTGTCCACTCTGACACGGCGAGACCAGGGGCTGCAGCAGCGAGAGAAGGGGTCGCTTTTTTTCCACTCGAGAGGTCTGGAATATCAGCATAAGCAATAGGAAGGAAAGAACCAATCTGCGGAGAAGACATGTGGGGCCTTGCATGGATTCTCATTTCCTCTCCGGCCTTGGCAAATCGGAATTTAGGCCTCGCCTTGGCGTCCCTGGGTTTGGTGGGACGACTGAGCCCTCTCCCGCCTGCCCGTGGTGCCGCCCTGTCCCACGAGAGGTGTCCTCACTCTGAGCACTGTGATTCTGGCCGGTGAGTCAGAATGTGTTTGCCTGGAACCATCCGGCAACTCCCTCTGGGGCTTGGTTCCAGCTCAGAACTGACCCGGCTTCTGGGGCTCGGGCCCTGCTTTGCTTGGTCCCTCAGGACAGTGGCTGCCCAGTGGATATCTCCCCTAGGGAGGCCAGTTCCTCAAGGCCATCCCTCCCTTGTCTCCCGGGCCCGTGTACCGCCGACTCTGAGGGAGCCTGAGTGTCTGGGCTGAGTCCCCAGCACCAGCTGGTCTCGGCGGGGCTGGACAGTCGCTTCCTAGTGACCATGGGTGGCTTTCATTGGCCTCCTGACCCGGTTCTGAGCATCTGGGCATTCCAGACGCAGCGAATCTGCCTCACGTCTCCCTGGCCCCCGGTCTTGCTTGCTCGGGCGTTGGTATCTGCGAGTCCCTCTCACGGGGCCGCCAGCGTGCCTGCGCCTCAGGGACAGAGCCCATCTGTCACAGCTCACGGATGCAGGCCGCAGTGCCGGGAGACGCCGGGGTCGGGGACAGTGTGATGTCAGCAGCCAGGGAGTGGGAAGTCAGTTACCCGCGGCAGGAACGGACCCATGATAGGGGGCGCGTTCCTTCCCGCCCCCGCCGACAGCCAGAGAGCAGGCACGGAGACCCGAGAAGCGCGGCCGCTCGGGTGCGTGGTGTCCTGCACACGTCCCTCGCGGGACCCTCGAAAGTCACGCTCATGAGCAGGTCCCCGACTCCGCATCGGGGCTGGTGTGTGTCTAGGAGGCTTAGCCTGTCGGGCCTCTGGCAGGCCCAGAGCCAGCCCCGCCTCCCCCCTGCACTTGCTCAGTGCCCCCGGGGGCCCAGAACTGAGTCAAACTGCAGCCCCACCCCTGCAAGTCCCCCCCCGCATCCGCTCATCCCACCCATCCCCTCGCGTCCCCTCGCCCCTGCACATTCCCCCACGTCCCCTCACGCCTGCACATCCCCCCATGTCCCCTCACCCCGCCCGGCCCCCCGTGTCCCCTCACCCCTGCACATCCCCCCATGTCCCCTCACCCCGCCCGGCCCCCCGTGTCCCCTCACCCCTGCACATCCACCCCCACATCCCCTCACCCTGCCCGGCCCCCGCCGTGTCCCCTCACCCCTGCACATTCCCCCATGTCCCCTCACCCCGCCTGTTCTCCCGCGTCCCCTCACCCCCGCACATCCCCCCACATCCCCTCCTCACCCCCACCCATCCCCGCACGTCCCCTCACCCCTGCACATCACCCCACATCCTCACACCCCTACCCGTCCTCCCACGTTCCCTCACCCCTGCACATGCCCCTGCGTCCCCTCACCCCTGCACATCCCCCCACGTCCCCTCACCTCCACCCGTCCCCCCGTCCCCTCACCCCTGCACATCCCCCTGCATCCCCTCACCCCTGCACATTCCCCCATGTCCCCTCACCCCGCCTGTTCTCCCGCGTCCCCTCACCCCCGCACATCCCCCCACATCCCCTCCTCACCCCCACCCATCCCCGCACGTCCCCTCACCCCTGCACATCACCCCACATCCTCACACCCCTACCCGTCCTCCCACGTTCCCTCACCCCTGCACATGCCCCTGCGTCCCCTCACCCCTGCACATCCCCCCACGTCCCCTCACCTCCACCCGTCCCCCCGTCCCCTCACCCCTGCACATCCCCCTGCATCCCCTCACCCCTGCACATCCCCCCACATCCCCTCACCCCCGCCCATTCCCCACATCCACTCACCCCTGCACATCCCCCCGCGTCTCCTCACCCCTGCACATCCCCCCATGTCCCCTCACCCCCGCCCGGTCCCCTCGTGTCCTCACCCCTGCACATCCACCCACGTCCCCTCACCCCTGCACATCCCCCCCGTCCCCTCACCCCCGCCCGTCCCCTCCACGTCTCCTCACCCCTGCCCGTCACCCCCATGTCCCCTCAGCCCTGCACATCCCCCCACGTCTCCTCAACCCCACCTGTCTCCCTGCATCCCCTCACCCCCGCACATCCCCCTGCATCCCCTCACCCCTGCACATACACCTACGTCCCCTCACCCTCACATGTCCCTCCGCATCCTCTCACCTCCTCGTGCCCCTGAGTGTCAAAGTGAGGCTTGCGGCTCCTCTGTGTCTGGAGTCTGCGGTTTTGTCACCCTCCAGAGCAGGATGGGGCCCATTCCTCAGCCCAGGACGGCCCAGCACGCGGCTTGAAGCGGGATCTCCCGGGCACCCGAGGGGCAGGGCGCGTCTCCGGGCTCTGCTCGCCTTTTCTCCCACCGTCGCCACCAGCTGCAGTTTCTGAATATGTTGGGAAGAGTGTGGACTCCATTGTGGGGTGCGGTGGGGTGGACTCTCAACTCAGTGCTCGGACAGGCCCCTCTGCTCCCAGGCTCGTTTGCTGCCTCCAGTGGATGGGCCTATCTCCAACATTAAAAGTTTGGGGGCCTTTGGGGTCTCTTCCCCTCCAAGAGAAACCCTCAGTGAGAAACACACATGTACATACACCTACGTGCAGACACGCATGCACACATCTGCAAGGATGTCCACACGTGTGCACACCGACACATGTGCACTCACATGTAAGGAGCTGGTCTGTCTGGATACACAGAGTGAGGCCGTCCCAGGGCAGAGGGTGGGGAGGGGTGACGTGTTTCTCCCGGGCTCTCGAGAAACACATGGCACATGTGCTAACGGACACCAGTGGGCTGCTGGGGACCCCGATGGCCCCCGTGTTTCCCGAGCACCCTCTGAAGTCTGCTCACACTCCAACTTCTTTCTGCCGCTGCCTCCTGTCCCTGTGCTGGGGGTAGTTATCTGCGTACCTGCGTCCTTTCAATGGACCACACCATAGAGGATCATGCTTACGGCGGGCCGGAAACAGGCCTCCTGGGGGCTGGAGGGACGGTCCAGGAGGCGACGCGCTCGCCTTGCATGGGGCTGACCTGGGCCCTGTCTCCTAAGCGATCCCTGAGCACAGAGTCCCAAGTACCCTGGATGTGGCCCAGAGACCAAACCCAAACCCAGAATCCAGCACGCCTTCAGCGCTTTATCTTTATTGGCTTATTTATTTATTTATTTATTAAATTTTTATTAGTGAAACACCATAAGGTACAGTTGTAGACTTACAATTTTTTGTGCTTGGGTTTCAGTTATATACAATGATTGAGTACCCATCCCTCCACCAGTACCCATTCTCCACCTCCAGTGGTCCCAGTATCCCTCCCACCCCCCTTCCCTCCTATTCCACCCTATTGGTTTATTTTTGAGATCCCGGGCATCAAACCCAGGGCCTCGCACACGCGAGCCAACGCTCGTCCCCCGAGCTGGAATCTCCCGTCTTCACATTCATCGATCCTTACAGCAGCCAACGAAGAGGAAGTTTAGTTCTTTCTTTTTTCCTTGGTGACATTTTATTAGAAGGGAGAGGGGAAAAAAAAACCGCAGTCGACAGAAGGCAGGGAGGGAGAGCCTGGCACAGCGGGAGGGCCGGAGTCCTGTGCCGCGGAGGACATGGCAGTCCCAGAGGGCCTGTGTGCGTGTCCACTCCGGTTGGACTTTGATGAGGCCAGTTGGGGGCCAGAGAGCTTTGGCTGCTGGCACCGTCGCTGCTGCCGATCACGTGTATGCTGTGGAGGTCGGGGTGACGGCCGTGTCCCTGCATTCTCGGGGGCGTTAGGGAAGGATGTGGGCACCCCCCAAGTGTTGCGTGTCAGGGAGACTCATAGCCACAGGCGAGGTGTGTGTGTATGTGTGTATGTGATCTGGTCCTGCTGGCCGTGGACTCGGGGGCGATGCCTGACCGGCTGGGGCTCCCCAGGGGGATTCCAGTGAGAGGGTCCAGAGCCCCTGAGTTCGAGGCTTTGAGTGAAGGGGCGAGTGTTCCCTTTGGGGCTGGGTTTCAGCAACGGGTGCTGGCAATTGGGACTCTACGTGCAGTGGTTATGGGGGTCCAGGGCCCCTACAGGACACTCGGGTGCTGACCCGGTGGGGGGTGGTCAGGGCCACTGGGGGCTGGCCGACCATGGGACACGGGCTGCCGTTGGGGATTCACCTCACCTGTGGCTTCGCTCTCTCCCCAGCGACGCCGGCGCGTGCGGCCGAGGAGGGTCCCCAGCGCTTCTCCTCGCTGCCCACCTACCTGCCCAGCAGCCTGAGTGTGCTGGACGCTGAGGAGACCTTCTTCCTCAAAGAGCCCCAGCAGGGCCTGACGCGCAACGCCAGCCTGCAGGCCCGTGCCCAGCCTTTCTTCGTGCACCGGGCCCGCGTGCCCCCGACGGTCAACGCCAGCTACGGCCCCTTCTCGGCCGAGGCGCCGGTGCCGCCCGAGTTCCTGGTGCCGTCCACGCCCTTCGGGGCGGCGCGGAAGCTGCCCTTCAACTGGAAGCTGAAGGCCCACATCCTGGACAGCTCCATCTACTCCAACAGGCCCAAGGTGCAGACGCTGTTCTACGTGACGGGCATGGACTGGACGGACGCTGAGCCCGAGCGGGACTTGCCCTGCGTGCGCATGTCGGCCTTCCCCGAGGCGCGGGAGGTGGCGGCCAGCTGCCGGCTGCAGGGCACGCCCGGGCTATGCGTGGCTGAGCTGGAGCTGCTGCCCGAGTGGTTCAGCTCGGGGCTGGACCTGGAGCCGGCCGAGGAGATCCCCGCGGTGCTGGGCGGCACGGCCATGGAGCTGTTCTTCGCCGTCTACCCCGCGGGCCCGGCCGGCGAGTGCCCGCTGCAGGAGGGCGCCCGCTGGGAGAACAACATCCACGCCGACCCCGAGGCGGCCCCGCCGGCCACGCCCGACCGCCAGCGCATCGGCAGCGTGGTGGTCTACCCCACCCAGGACGACCTCCGCTGGTCGCTGCTGCACCTGGACCGCAACGTGGCCCTCTCCGTGCCCCTCAACCTGATCCGGGAGGGCGACACGGCCACCTTCCTGGTGTCCCTGACCGGCGGCTCCAGGGCCGACCACTTCACGCTTAGGTAAGAGCGCTTGGGGGCGGGAGGCGGCGTCCAGGGCAGCTCGGCCAGGGGGTTTCTCCCTCAGAGGCTCTGGTATCAGGTGGGGCCCGTGTCCCAGAGTTGGGGGGGGGGTGACCCGTTGCACAGTCCAGTGAGACTTGGGGCGGGCAGGGCAGGTCAGGGGCACAGGCGTGTGGCTCTTTTCCTCGCTGTGTCCGGGCTCAGACCATCTGGACCCCCTGAACTGTGTTCTGTCCACATGTGGGAGCCCAGAGGCACTGCCCGGGGCGGCTCTGTGGGCACCTGTCTCTGAGAGAATCCTCCCCAGCGTTCCGCTTCATGCTCAGGGACGGAGGCGGGGATGGGCCACGTCATGACAGACAGACTCAGCACTCGCTTTCCTGGGACCTGGATGCTGTGGCTTGGTGGGAGGAGGTGGGCGTGGGGGAGGGATGGGGCAGCTGCCGTTCTCCGCTTGCTGCCTGTCCCTTGCTCCGTTCCTCTCTTGGGGGTCCTGACCCCAGAGGTCACATCCACCAAGCTTGAGGCCACACTGGGCAGCATCTGGGGCACACGGAGGCGTCTAGCTCCTCAACCCCTCCCACCCACTCCAGCTTCATGCCTCCCAGGCAGCCTCTGAGTAGTGCTGGAACTTGGCTGACTCCTGACTTCAGGTGGGACGGATCTCGAGCCTTGGGGCTCTGATGGTCACGCACTCAGGGCGCCTGAGACCACCAGCTTCCCTCTGTCACACTCGGCGCACCCGCCAGTCTTGCACCAACCCCTCCAACTCCATTTTTATTTATTTTTTTGGCTTTTTGAATCACACCCGGCTGTGCTCAGGGCTTACTCCTGGCTCTGCACTCAGAAATCACTCCTGGCAGTGCTCAGGGGACCATATGGGATGCTGGGGATCGAACCCAGGTCAGCCTCATGCCAGGCAAATACCGTCCCCGCTGTGCTATCACTCCAGCCCCCTCCCATCTGCATTTCTAATGTAATCTTGGTGTTTGGTCTTATGCAAAAAAAAAAAAATAGCAAAGTGTTTGATGCTGGGGCCCCAGGTGGCCCCAGAAACCCTGGCTTTATGAACTTCCCCTGAAGAAAGCCCAGATTTCCCGAGAGGAGGCTGGTGGGCACGGCCAGACCCAGCCAAGAGCCGTGGTTTCTGCTGGGCTTAGCGCAGAGATAGCGATTATCTCTGGAACCAGCCGCCAGCTACAAACGTCACTCCTGCCTTTGGTCCAGTGGGCGTGTTCCCATCCGTCGGTTGGCCTGGCTTCCCTGGAATGGGGGTCTGAGAACGGGCACCTGTGGGCAGGAGAGTGCAGGATTCCAGCCAGGTGGACATTTGGGTCTGTGTGGACACATCAGCCGAGGCCACGGACCTGGGGGCGGGAGGCGGGTGGTCACTCCCAGGCCCTTCCCCGAACCAGGCTTGCCCTGCCCTGCTCTCTGCAGGTGCCGCCCCGCGGAGATGCTGATGGCTGGAGCGTGACCTTCCCCTGTGTGCCCTGGGCACCCCATGGAAGTGTCCCCTTCCCTCTCTGCTGTGTTACAGTAGACCTGTGACACAGGCACCACTGGACGGGCCTTCTGTGCATGTTTGTGCATGCCTGGGTATGCCTGGGTGCCCGGGTGGGCCATCCCTGTGCACGGGCATGCACACACATGTGTGCATGTGTGCATATGTTTGTAGGTGAGTGCATGCATATCTGTCGTGGGGCTTGGTTTGGCCCATGGCTGGCATTAGCGGGGACCAGACGATGCAGAGACAGGGGACAAGACTCTGATATCCTGCTGGACTGGGCCCCGGTGGCTCCCCTCCTGGGGGGCGTCTCTCTCTGGGGTGAGTCCAGCTACGGCTGGCCCAGGTGCTGACTGACGGTCACCACTTCTCTAAGTCTCAGTTCTGGGCTCTGTGCACGCCTCTGAGGACCTGCCAACAGCCCAGTGTCCACCTTGGAATTACTGAAAATCAGACCCTTGGCCTTGACTCAGGAAAGCGGGAGCTGCTAGCGGGGAAAGGACAAGTCGGCCAGAGGGGCTACCTGCCGGCCTTGGGTGCAGTGACTGGCCACCAAGCTGTGACCGGGGACACAGCAACATGTGGTTCCCCAAGCGACAGTGATAAGCATGACTGAAGCAGCAGAACGGAAGAAAAGTGAACACAATAAGCAAATCTTCACACCAAGTCACAAAATTCCAGTTGAAAAGTAAGTCTCGGCGGGGTCAGGCGCTGACCTGGGCCGGCGGCATCTCGCTGTGCTTTGCCTGTCCCCTAGGCCCTGATACCCCCTCTGTGAGTGTCCCTTTTGGGTGGGACCCCTTTCACTTAGAGACGTGTCTGGTCTCGGGCCTGCTCATCTGGGAATGGGGTCCCTGGGCAGTGCTGGGCGCTGTCAGAACCTGGGGTACGGGTGTGCCTGAGTGCAAGCGGGACACAGTGTCCTGGCTGTGCTCTCTGTGTCCCCAGTGTCCAGTGTGCAGGCCGTCACCCTTCTCATCCTGTCCTTTCCGTGACCTGCAGCTTTGTCAGCGGGGGAAACTGAGGCTCAGGTCACCACTTCCTCCAGGCTGTGATGCTGTGAGGTGGGACCAGGGTTTCCAGTCCCCGAGTTTGAGCCCCTCGCCTGTCTGCTAGCCCAGAGGGGCTGGGCCCACACTGTTCACCAGAGGGGAGTGGGGCTGTGTTTATCCTGAGGAATAAACACATTCATGCCACACCGCTTGGAGCAGTCACTAATGTCTGTGGCAATTGGGGGGGACAAAGTCAAGGCCAGGGGCTGGAGCGATAGCACAGCAGGGAAGGCGTTCGCCTTGCACGCAGCTGACCCAGGTTCGATTCTCAGCATCCCATGGGGTCCCTCGAGCACCGCCAGGAGTAATTCCTGAGTGCATGAGCCAGGAGTGACCCCTGTGCAATGCCGGGTATGACCCAAAAAGAAAAAAAGCCCAGGCCAGCTTGGCTCTGCAGCAGAAAATGGCCCAGCCAGAACTGAGTGTGGTGACCGAGCCTGGTAACTGGCTATGGTGACTGGGCATGGCGACCGGGCATTGGTGACGGGCGTGGTGACCAGGCATGAGCAGATGTGGTGACCGGGCGTGGTAACTGGGTGTGGTGACTGGGCGTGGTGACTGCCTTTGTGGTCAGTGCTGTGGACGCTGCCGTCCTCATGCAGTTCAGACCGGGCTGTGGGGGGCCCGCACGGGGAGAGCGGGGGTCCATCTGCTCATTTTATCACCCTCCTTCCTCCTTCAGATGCTGCAAATATTTTACACTTCCGCTCACCCCGATATTTCATTCTGGAATACTTGCCGACAGCTGGTAAAGTCGAAAGAAATTCGCAGTGAGAATTTGGCTCTCAGCCCTCCTGCCCGTCCATCAATCTCTTGTATTTTTTGATACATTTGGAAGTCAAGTGCAGACATGCCCCTAAATAGCTCAGGATGTGAGTGTTTGCAGGGACTCACGTGCACGCGGCTTCTTGGATGAGCACTGCCCATGGAGCTTCCTTGATGGAGTGGCTCCCTCCCACCGTGTCTGTCTTTCCGCGCACTTGCTGGAGGTGTCTGCTCTGTTGCCGGCTAACGTTTCTTCAGAAAACCAACCTGGGAGTTCTCAGGGCACGGATCATTTTTTGGTGGTGCTCGAGGGACCATATGGGATGCTGGGAGTCGAACCCCGGTCAGCCGTGTGCAAAGCACACACCCTCACCGCTGTGCTGTCGCTCCAGCTCCAGGGCATAGATCTTAAGTGTCTTCTTTAACGTCCTTATCCTGGAGGCCAGTGCGGTGGGACCGGAGGCCGCAGCCTTCCTCACAGGCCTCCCATTGCAGCGTATACGCGCGTCTCCGACTCTCATGACAGAGGGGCCCGTCCCTGCTGTCCTTGCGTGGCTCACAGTCTGAGCACCAAGGGCGTTTCTTCACGGGCAGCCAGCCCACGTCAGGGCATCACTTCTGGTCTTCCCTGTCCCACACTGATGAGCACGCACAGCCCAGGAGGCCACGGGGGCGGCTGGACTCGGGCAGCACTTTCTTTTTTTAAATTTTGTTCTTTGGGTCACACCCAGCGATGCTCAGGGGTCACTGCTGGCGCAGCACTCAGGATTTACTCCTGGCGGTGCTCGGGGGACCCTATGGGATGCCGGGGATCGAACCCGGGTCGGTCATTTACAAGGCAGATGCTGTGCTATTGCTCCGGCCCGGCCGCCAGCACTTCCTTCCCACCTGCCCCTCTGCCTGTCGGTGCCTCTCTTCTGCCCTTGCCTTCGGGGGGATCCTCTGGACAGTTCAGAGTTCTCACTGCTCCCCCCGGTTCTGGGGCCACACTCTCGCCGCCGTCTGCCCTGTGTCAGTGTCTGCCCCCAGGAGCCTGGCTCTGCCCAGCCAGGGTGCCACCACGGCCTCTGTGCTGCGTTTGTCAGGCGAAAGGCCCCCGTTCTGGCCTCAAGCCGCTCTCCGTGCCCAAAAAACGGGAGAGAAAGCCCAGGGCCCGCGTCGCCCGGCCACGTGTCTATGCACTCGCCGTTTCTGCCCTTCTCCACAACTCTGCCCTTTCCCCAGTGTCCCTTCTCTCTAGTGTCCCGGGCACATGTGCTTCAGTTGGGAGCTGCTGGCGTGAACGCCCTCAGTGTCTCTCATCTGGAGGCAGCCCCGGCTCGCGGTGCTGGTGTCTTCAGCTGTGGAGCCGCAGCCCGCAACATTCCCTGCTCGGCGTGTGCTGTGGCCGTGCGGCCCTCCCAGGTCTGCACCTGGGCTCCAAAGGGCCAAGCTCGGCCTTGCTTCTGTGTTTCTGCTGCTGTGGCTTGTCGTCTGCTTCAATTTGCAGAGCTGCGTTTTTCTTTCAATGGGGGAACATCTCAAGGATTCAAGAATGTCTCCCCACCCACCCCCGTTGCCCCCAGACTCATATTCCCAACTGCGTGTCCTTGCAGGCAGCGCCTAGACCTCCGACTGCACACAACAGTCTCTGCGCATCCCATCCCTGCACACAGCAGTCTCTCTGTGTCCCACCC